ACTCATAATGATGTGTATTTTGACTGTATTTCTATATATTTTAAGTTATATTCTTTTCATCTGCATTCAGATAGGTCTGGCTACTGTGTTACTGTTAATGATATTTTATAATTTCACTGTCCACTGAAAAGCATGTAATAAAGGTAATATTGTGAGAAATACACTTAAGTAAAATTTGTTTATTTTACATGTAAGATCATAAAATATTTCATTTTATTTGTGAACACCAGCAGTGTTATACTTTCACTTGTGGCTGTGTCAAAATATTGCAATAGGTGTTCATTTTATAAATTTCTTAGAAACTGACATTTTAAAAGTGTATTTTAATACAAAACACAAAATTTAATGATACTCTTTAGAACTTTAGAAGATATTTTAGCAGTAATTAATTGTCATAATATTGTAGTATTACTTAATTGTCATAATGTAAAAGAATGTGCTGCTTTAAATAGTAAAAACAATCCTTATTTCAAGAAATAAATCATCAAAAACAAAATATTTTTTTACTATTAGTAATAAATGTTGCTGAAGATACATAAATTCAGTGAAAGTTCTGGAAGTTTTCAAGATTAAAAATTTCAAAAATTCAACATTCATAAGCACATAACTCTGATTAAATTGTATTTCTAAATTATAAATCTAAATGTACTATAAAGTAGACTTTTGTAAATACAAAGAAAGAAAACAATTATGTACAGGCTTGAAAACTTAAATCATGCTATTTGAACTGGAATAATAAGAATCTTTAGGAATACTGATTAAAATTAGCTTCTAATTAACACTAACATTAGGATCTGACAACCACCAATTGGTTGTCATCTTGTCATAACCTTTCGAACAGCAAATCATCGGCAAGCTTTCACAATTTTTGAAAGCGATGTGGTTTCTAACTTTAATGGCTGGTAAACCATTACTGAGTAGGTCATTTTCACAATTTTGAGAACAAACATTGTATCGTCCAGATAGCCGGCAGGTAAACTGGCAAAACAACAATGTCCATTAAAAATTTAGTCTTTAATTTCCAGTTTTTTTCACATGACTTCAACAAATTGTTTTCTATCAAAGATCAATAATACGGCACGTATGTTTTACTTGAACAGAAAATGATATTAAGATACTTCGTCTTATTCCTATCTGTAAAGACGGTTTGATTTCATTGCTAAAAATAGCTTTCCTGGGAAGTCCGAATCACAATGAAGATTAAATAAATATGGGGGCAATCAGATCTACATGTAAGAAATAAGTAGATCTGAACTTATGTCAGACTGGAAAGGACCTTTCTATAAAAAACTGCATGCTTTCATAAACATTGTCAGAAAATATTATCGCCCATTTTGCATGCTTTATCCCGGGGATTTAATATTATATAATGTTTTAATACTGTTACAGTCATATTGTTGCCTTTTTGCTTGTTCCTTTTTCTTCTACCATATTAGTATTTAAATAGAATTTTGAAAAACATCATATCACATAAGTATTCATTGCACAATTGGTATAACAATGATGATAAAACTTGTAAACACTCAAATGTTACACATACAGAAAATATAGGAACAAGGGGACTCAAACCATACACCATATGGATGTGAATGCTTAACTGTTTCATCACTGAGGTAATTTGCCTTGTTACCAATCTGTTGTGATTGTCTAGACACACAAATAATTTGAAACAGTGTGTTTTGGTCAAGATATGTGTATATTTTACAGTCGTCTCCTTAACCCAAGTAATTTTGAATGTTTTAATACACTTCAAAGCTTCGTAAATAAACTAAAAGGTTAATAATTTGTGCATTATTATACTGGCACCACTTCATTCAAATAAATATATTTTTTTTATTTTTGAATTAGATTAAATTCAGAGATGATTTTTGCATGATTGTATTGAGATAAGCTTGTTTTATTCTTCTGTTGTTGTATTGAACTTTACTGAAAGCCAGTACTCAGGAGCACTAAAATATCACTTTCTATCAGTATTCCTACTTGAATACTGTATAATCACCCTTAGGATTTATTGCCTGCTTTTTAAATTTGTCTTTTGACGTCTTATCTGTGATATGCAGGCTTCATAACCTCAGATCCCCTTTCAAAATTCCATTTTATTTAGTTCCGCCAATTGTTTTCTTGTTTAGGGCAAAAGCATTCTTTTACTAGGGGACCATATGCCGCTTTTCATGGAATGGCACTAACTGTGTCACATTGAAGGTTCTATGATAACTGCCGTATGAACACATCTGTGGATGTTTCTAAATTAAAATTTCACCATTTTCGTGTAAAAATGTTGAATTCTGCTTAAGCCGGTGTTAGGGGGCGTGGACGGTAACTTGCACTTTCCAGTACCGTCCATGAATAGGCTCAATCAAACCGAGCCTGCAACATTTTCAATTGTGTTGTGTTGGACCTTCTTTTGGGTTTTTCCCTATTTTCTCCATCAAGTGAACTTTGATTGGCCATAAACCATAAATCTTTAAATGTAAGCAACTTTAATATTCATCGTTACTATAAAAAGTAAAATTTTCAGACTAAAAATGGAAAATTTCTTCTAAAATTGTATAATACTGAGTTCTGATTTTTTATTTTTTTTATTCTTTGTACAGAGAATTTGAAATGTCATGGAGTCAGTAAAATAAATTAATCTTTACAAGTGTTTGAAATTGATTGTTACACTTGGTATAAATAAATTTACCTAATAGGAATCAAATTTTCTTCATCTTGAAAACAACGAAAAAACAGGCAAAAACACATCAGAATATGTTTTAAAACTGTAAAATTCTGTAAAATATGATCATAGAAAAAGTGTCACAAATATTCTTGGAATTTATGACATCATGAAAGCTTGTGATGACATCATCAGACTTTGTTTATTTTCAGTTAGAATAGTTCCAATTGCAATAACTCCTGTTAACAGCATCTTTTATTTCGCTAGACTATTCTAACTGAAGTTAGCATAGTCTTGCACAAAAGAATATCAAGTTTTTAACTTAAAAGTGATTGTCAAACTATTCTAACTTGACTTAGAATAGTTTTGCACTGAATATATTATATCACCAGATAGAATATTTTCTTAAAATGTGTAAAACTTAAAAATTAGTGGGAAATTAATTAAGTCTTTTTAACAGAACATGCATTGAAGGAATTTATACAAGAAAATGTCAAAAAACCATTTTCTGAAAAATATTGAGTTAGAATAGTCTTGCGCTGAGCCCTCGTGGTGAGCTTTTGTGAACGCTTTTCGTCCGGCGTCCGTCCGTCCGTTGTCCATCCGTTCGTAAACTTTTACTTTAAACGACATCTCCTCATAAACGACTAGGCCAATTTCATCCAAACTTCACAGGAATGTTCCTTTGGTAGTCAACTTTAAAAGTTGTTCAAATAATTTAATTCCAAGCAGAACTCTGGTTGTCATGGCAACCGAAAGAAAAAACTTAATATCTTCTTTTAGAAAACCGCAAGAGCTAGAGCTAAGATATTTGGCATGAAACATCACCTAGTCAGTGTCTACCGAGTTTGTTCAAATAAATTTCCTGGGGTCAAAATTGGCCCCGCCCCGGGGGGTCATTGATTTTCCTTATTTATATATAGTAAAAACTTAAAAAATCTTCTTTTAAAAACCCCAAATAGCTAGAGCTTAAATATTAAGCATGAAACATCTTCTAGTGGATGTCTACAAAGTTTGTTCAAATAAATGCCCTGGGGTCAAAATTGGCCCTGCCCCGGGGGGTCATTGATTTTCGTTATTTGTACATAGTAAAATCTTAAAATATCTTCTTTTAGAAAACAGCAAGAGCTAGAGCTTAAATATTTGGCATGAAACATCAACTAGTCAGTGTCTACCAAGTTTGTTCAAATAAATTTCCTGGGGTCAAAATTGGCCTCGCCTTGGGGGGTCATTGATTTTTTCTTATTTGTATATAGTAAATACTTAAAAAATTTCTTTCAAAAACCCCAAATAGCTAGAGCTTAAAATGAAACATCTTCTAGTGGGTGTCTACCAAATTTGTTCAAATAAATGCCCTGGCGTCAAAATTGGCCCTGCCCCAGGGGGTTATTGATTTTCCTTATTTGTATACAGTAAAAACTTAAAATATCTTCTTTTAAAAACCCCAAATAGCTAGAGCATAAATATTAAGCATGAAACATCTTCTAGTCAGTGTCTACCAAGTTTGTTCAAATCTATGCCCTGGGGTCAAAATGGGCCCGCCCTGGAGGGGTCATTGATTTTCCTTATTTGTATATAGTAAAAACTTAAAGATCTTCATTTAAAAACCCCAAATAACTAGAGTATAAATATTAAGCATGAAACATCTTCTAGTGAAATTCTACCAAGTTTGTTCAAATTAAAGCCCTGGGGTAAAAATTGGCCCCGCCCCAGGGGGTCATTGATTTTCATTATTTTGTAAAGAGTAGAAACTTAAAAAATCTTCTTTTAAAACTTTTAAAAAACCAAGAGCTAGAGTTTAGATACTAAGCATGAAATATTTTCTAGTTAGTGTCTACCAAGTTTGTTTAAATAAAAGCCCTGGGGTCAAAATTGGCCCCTGTGGGGGGGGGGTCATTGTTTTTTCCCATATGTATATAGTAAAAACTTAAAAAAGTCTTCTCATTAAAACCCCAAAGAGTTAAAGCTTAGATTTTATCATGAAACATCTTCTAATGGCTGTCTACCAAGTTTGTTCAAGTAAAATTCCCTGGTTAAAAATTGGCATTGGCCCAGGGGCCTATATACAGGTGAGCGATTTCAGGGCCATCATGGCCCTCTTGTTTTAGATACATTGTTTTTTACGGTACTAAGAATGTTTTTAAGGTTACTATATTTTTCAGTTTTTGGTTAAGTTGTAAGTCATTCTTTACCGAGTATAGTTCAAAATGACAAGTTTTTCCATGTTTCAGACAGGATGAAGACTTTTAGAAAGTTTGATTTGATGTCTTTATTCTAGTGAGAAATAATGTGTAATAGTAATATATATGATAATTTCTACCTAAATTTTTATTAATTTTTACAGGTGCACAAGTGGGTAAATGCAGAGTCAATGCTGGAGAAATGCCTCATAGGGAAACTCAAGGCTGAAAACCCAATGTTGAGGAATGCTCTGCTGAGAAAAGGTAAAAAAATATTAATGATTTCAAATGAATTTAATAATTTTTCCTTTTACAATAATATGTTAATAATTGGTATTACAATTCTTTTAATTAAAAAAACTAATATTATGAAAGATTATATCTGTCATTTTGAGAATTATGCAGCTGTTTGATATAAAACATAAGCAATGAAAATGACATGATTTAACTGACTATGTTTAGACAGAAAAAAATCCATCAATAATATAAACAAAGTTACATGTCTATGTTACTATAGTATTCAAGGGAGTGGAGACCTAGTGTTAAAGGCATCAGACTCTCAAACTAGGGCATTTTGGAATCAAGCCCTTCTTCAGTTACTATCATGTTTCTTCATATTACTCCAGTACTGGTTAGTTTCAGGAAGTGGACTTGATAAGCTAAATTAAACTTCTTACTTAAATTAAATTCTTGCTATACACTTAGTTTTAGCTACTTGACAAATAGCTTATGTTTATGTACCTATAATTACATTTGGTAAGGGATAGCCAGTGTCCATTACCCCAAACCAATATTCCCAATATTAAATCAAGTCATTACTATATACTGTATAAATGATTTATAACAGTGTTTCATTTTGTTTACAGCCTCAAAGAGCAGTCTTGAAGCTGTACCCAATGGTAAGATTTCTTTCGCAGAATTATATCCATTCAGAAGAGCCAACAAATTTAAAAAAAAATGAACTATACACCATTGGTTTGCACATATTTTAGACAGTTGTATTGTTCAAAGATACAGGATTTGATATCTGTAAAGGGGTTTTTGAAGTCAAGACAATTTATAAAGTTTAACTGACTGATAATTTAAAGACATAGTGGCATGTTTATCATGTTCTGCCACAAGTACAAAGTTCATTCTGATCAAATGAGCAATACTTCAGGAAACTGAAAGTTGGTGTCTATTAACAACTATTTGTTAGGTTTGAAAATGCTACCACATCCACATCTACTTCCTTTTAGCAGTAAAAAAAAAAGATATATTTCTCAAGAATTTATTGATTTACGGGCATGTACCTAGACATGTAGACGTATTTTTATAAGGAGAACATTTTATGAGGCACTGGGATGTAAGAAACAAACTATTGTCTGTCTAGCCTGTAAGAGATATAGTTAAGTTAGACAGAAGTAATTCTAAAGAAAGTTTATGCATATCAAATGTTATTTTGTCTCAAGTGCTAAAGGTAATATAGTACTTTTAAGGTTTTTGTACACCCAGCTCAAAGCTGTGGAGTTAGTTGTATTGTCTGAAATATAAAGATGATTGTTTTTTATAGGAAATATGGGGTACCTAATACATTTTTGAACATTTTTTATCTGTAATTATGTTAAACAATGCAGAAATAAAAATTTATACAGATTTACAAGTGTACTATATTATTGGATCTGTTAACTCCTTAAATATAGATTTCAGCAATATATGGTGAAACCTTAGAAATTTTCTAGTATTTTCAATTTCAGAATCAAAATAAGAAATTAAGCTTCTATCAGAATAAGGGCTGGTTAGATTGCATGTTAATGCAGGCTGGCCTGGCTCTATACTGGTGGCAAAGGCTAAACACTTTCTGGACCAGGAGATTAAGGGGTTTATTGTTTGAAAAAGTGAGACAAATATTGTTAGCATATTTTTCTTTTTCAGGTGGGATAGCTCCACCTACATTTTTGACACCATCCACACCACCTGAGCAGAAACCAAGGTAATGTTTTACAGCGTAGCTGACTCTTTGTGGAAAAGACAGAGTTTATCAAAGTTATTTCCCTTTAAGAATTAAGTTATTTAGATGCAATTCAAGAAATTTCTGTAAAGCACTGAAAAAGTCATATGTGCAGTGTCTGTTCAATTTATGATTTTATAGAAAACTTAATGCACAAAGAACAACAGTAGTAATTTATGATTATAAAGATTTTTGACAGGTTATATGGCCCTATGTAAATGGTTGTTTGAATATAAAGGCTTGGGTTATATTGCAAATAACTGTTCATATACCACCATATATCCTGTTAAGAATCTTTACAACAAATTTATAATACTGCAAAATTCCTTTATTGCAGAAAAAAATGAAATTAATTCATAAATCAACTGCCGCCGTGTATTCAGATTATATAAACGTCATGATTTTCCGATGAGATATGACGTTACAAACATGCAGTACTATTAATGTATATATACAAGATTTAGATGCCATATCTAATAAAGTACAAGATTGTAAGCATGATGTCTGGTTAATGAGAACTGGGAACTTTTTTGTAGACATATTATTGATTTTGTTCATTGAAGTTTGTAGAATTAAAGATTCAAAAGATTGTAATTTGTTTCTGTAACTGTTACGGTTAGGTTGAATATTGACTTGTTTCATATGATCAATAATGGGACAGATTTCTCAGTACAAGAAAGGTTGCTCAGTTCAAAGTAATGTTTCCCAAGTGAACAAATGTTTTTTAAGTACAAGTAAATGTTTTCTAAGTACAAGTAATGTTTCTTATTATTAAATGATTGAGTGATAATTATTTAATTATAGGGTTGATCTTTGAATTCCTGTTTTGAATACCAGAATTAATATTTACAGTCTTGTGCTGCCAGTATAGAACCAGTCTTATTAAAGCAGTCAGTCTAGACTGTGTAACTTTAATGGTCAGATTCAGTATTTGATATTGAAATATCATAACATGTCACATTGAAGGTTCCATGATAACCGCAATATGAACACATCTGCGGATGTTTCAAATTAAAAAAATTGATCAGTGTATGTTAGATGTTGAATTTTGCTTAAGGCGGTGCTAGGGAGTGTGGACGGTAACTTGCAATAACCATTACTGTCCATGAACAGGCTCAATCAAACCGAGCCTTCAACATTTTCAGTTTTGCAATGTTGGGCTCCTTTTAGGAATTCTGTTTGGTACCTGAGATAACTGTGTTGTATATTTTCCAGGTTTGACTGGTATCAGTGTTGTATATTTTCTAGGTTTGACTGGTATCAGAGATAACTGTGTTGTATATTTTCTAGGTTTGACTGGTATCAGAGATAACTGTGTTGTATATTTTCTAGGTTTGACTGGTATCAGAGATAACTGTGTTGTATATTTTCTAGGTTTGATAATGGTGTTGTATATTTTCTAGGTTTGACTGGTATCAGAGTGGTAAGACCGTGTCAGTGGTGGTATACACCAAGTGGACAGATATGAGGGATGAAAATGTTATCATAGATCGTGATGAGAGAACATTGCTGGTGACAATGCACGTGAAACAATCAGTCTTCTATGTACATATAGGTAATGAAACATTACTAGAATAAATTCATATATTACTGATCTTTTATTGTAATTAGGAAAACTTAAGCCAAGAGAATATTTGTCTTCTTTGTACATATAATGATATATACAGAAATATGACGACTTCATATATTTTCTTCAGTCATAATAATCAATCCCTTTTAAGTATTGATATTTAAGATACCATGTTTAAGTGCTTATATTTTGGATACAGTTTCACTGTTTAATGTTTAAATTTGCCTTTGATAAATAATACTGCTCATTAATTCTTGAAGAAAATGGCTGATATTTCAGAAATTTTATCTCTTGAAAGTTGTTTTTCATTACTACGAGTACCACTAGGTCTCAAAGGAGATGTAGGTTTTTGCAGATATATTATCTCTTGTTAATTGTTTTCCATCTGGTCACTTATATTCAATATCTAGATCGAATAAAATAGGGACAGGGTCTTTTTGCTGGATTACATGGACCTGTTTTTCTTACATGCACAAAACAAATATGTACTGCTTTGAAAACAGTATCCAGCATATTAAGCTAAAGGAGCAAAACCGTCATTAAAAGTAATTACAGTAAAGGCTTAGAAATTAAAGTAAAGGATAAATTGTGAGCATAGTCCCTCTTGGAAAAAAAGAGACCTTGCTTTCAAAATTGCTGAATACCTGCAGTCTCTAGCTTATAATTAAATACTGGTTTCATAATAAAATGAAAATGTAACTGATGTTTTGATAAATAAAGATTACATACACCTTTAGAATTTTATTACAATAACATATATTTTTAACTTGCAGATCTTGAGAAAGATGTAACAGACAAGTATCAGGGTAAGTATATGTGAACTTACACATACACATGATCATTATATCTGTCACATATGTCAGGAAATCCCTGAGAAAATTAAAAAATCATAAATTATACATTTGAAAAATTATTAAAGTCTTAAAGTCATACTATATTTAAAAATCAGTATTATATTTTTCTAATCGATTGAAATGGACAGCATATTTTGAATATGTTTTTTCTCATCTTTAGACAAACAATTATGTTTATCTAATTATTATACAAATTAAATTTTTTTATAGATTCAGTAGCTTTGCTAGGCATATCTCATTTTTCAAGGCAGGAATGTGTATAAAAACTAACAACAGTCCATATATAGTTACAAAAATGTATAAATAGCAAGGAAAGAGTCGAAATATAATCACAAAAGCTCTAAAAAGCTCTAACACAAAAAACTTGAATATTGTCACAAAAACTTACACAAAGATACAAAAGTCTGTAAATAATTACTGTTTAGCAATAGCTGCAAATGTATCTTTGATTATGAGGTGCAAAATCTCACTTCAAGATGACAGTTCTATTATTTTCAGTTCTTTTTCTACTAGATGCAGTCTCAGCCAATTCACTTATCATGATATTGTAATTTGTTTCAGTTTATATATCAGGTGATAGTGGAAAAGTGGAAATAGTTTTTGAGAAATGTCAGCCAGATGTACAGTGGTCTATTATAGGAAAGAATCTGGACAAACATAATCTGTATATACCAGACAAAAACTACAGTAAGGAATAGTTGTATTCATCATTTACTATACCTGTAACTTTTTTCCTTAAGATACCTGCAAATCTTGAAGCTTGAATAATTTTCGAGGGATAAAAAAAATCGTATTATGACAAATACAGTAACATGTATGGAAGTGTCAGACTATTTTTTCATGTGGATTCCCATCTTTGCTGTATTACATAGCATTTGAAAAATTAATGGGAACCAAAATTATTAAAAGCTTTTTTGCAAAAATTACATATTCATTCGTAATTTATGAATTTTATTTCTTGACAGCTGTATTTCAGTTTTTGAAATAACTAATAGAAAGTGAAGTATATTGAAACCTTTTTTGTCTTAAAATATAAAGGTATATAATAAAAGGATAATTATGTTTTAGTAGCTTTCTAAAACTTGTACAATATAATATTTTATTTATATACTATGTTTTCAAGAGTATTACATTACATTTGAACATGTTAAATATTTTTATGAGAAAAGAATTGTTGTATAGTGTTAAGTTGACCTCCAATCTGTTACCTTTCATAGCAATGATTTTGTATCAGACAAGGGGACTTTAATATTATTTCATACAAGGAAGCAAAAAAAGTTAGCGTAGGACTACCTTAAATAAAGATAGAATGGTGGAGATATCTTTTTAAACCTTTAACCTTCTAGCACTAAAAGTAACAAGCAGTCATTGAATTTATATCCCCTGCCATCTATTGGTTATTACTGATACAACAACTGGAGACTTAATGCTTTATTTATATATTTATTAAAACCAGTCTTGATGATTGACATAGATATGCTGAAATCCAGTCAATTGTTCTGAAAATTCACAATTGACATAAATATGCTTTAGTTATTGCAAAAAAAAAATTGGCAGTTTTTTTTAGAAAGGACCAAGTTTACTTAACCTGTAATAGGGAATGCAGCTTCCCCTACATAGTTTTTACATTATTTAATTCAAGTTAGACATACAAATGTACATGTATTCAGAAAGAATTTCTTAGATTTCAATAAATTTCTGTGATAAAAGTATTTTACTTAAAGATGAGCATAGTTTATTTTTAAGTGTTTAAGTCATGTGGTGTTTTATTATGCAAAAATCTGGTCATATTCACCTGAAGAAATACATGTACACCAATTTTTTTCTGTATTCCACACCTTGTTTTGCTAAAATTGTAACACCGCAAATATTAACACTATTCATATGCAGTTTTACAGAAGGTATAATTATGATAAAATGAAAATTACACAAGTGTGCTGTTCTGGTGCATTGTTTCAGTCTGTTTAATTGTGTAAAGTTGTATTCAGGACATTTACAGTCTGTCAGAATATCATACTCCTGTAATATTCCCCTATATATTCTGTAGAACATGTTCTCTTTTATATTTGACTTTTCAATCAAACGATCCTGATGAATATTTTGAAAAAAATGAGCATGGACAAAAACTGTAAATGATAAACTCAGTACTCATATTTCCTTCTGATTGAAGACTCTGGTGAATATTGATCTAAATCTCAAGTTGTGGTTAATTTAGGAAAGGTACTTAATTCAGTGCAATCAAGTAGGGGAATAATTTGTGCTAATTACGTTGTCAATACTCTTGAGACATCCTGCTATATTAGGAGTGTACTGCAGTGTCTCAATAGGCAACATTTTTAGCAACAGATCAGGGTCTTGTAGAAGCTTTGAATTGAATAAGTGGTCATTTGTTTCATTAATAGCCACCTCATCATCTTCATTTTATATTGACACTTCACCTCCAATGAAGATCATATGAGCCGCGTCATGACAAAACCAACATAATAGGTTTGCGACCAGCATGGATCCAGACCAGCATGCGCAGTCTGATGAGGATCCATGCTGTTCGCTTACAAACCCTATTACAAGTAGAGAAACTGATAGCGAACAGCATGGATCCTGATCAGACTGCACGGATGCGCAGGCTGGTCTGAATCCATGCTGGTCGCAAACCCATTATGTTGGTTCTGTCATGACGCGGCTCATATATTGTGTGTTTGTGTGTGTATGTTACATTGACACTGTAAAGGCTTTATGGGGACTTTTCAGCTTCACTTAATTAGGAAGATCTAAAGACAGCTTTCCCTGTGACCTTTATTTCTGGCACCACAGACTATTTAAAGTGAAGCTATATTCCATTGATATTACAGATACTTTATTCTAGAGTTGTCATTGAAACAGTGCCAAGTAAATCAACGATATATCACTATCAGACGACAAATATCGCTTATGCCCTGTCAATTAGTACTTATACTTAGAATTAATTTCTTGTATGTAATTCTTTTTCATACCTGTTTAAAGGCCTTTGGTAAAAAAACATGTTCTTTTCATACATGTGTCTTGTTTATGAATGCCCATTCCATATTTTTGTTGACCATTTTTGTCATCACTGTTATTAAATATGCCACGGGTGAATTTTTATAATTTTTACTCTATAAATATTCAATTATTAAGTCAAAATTATCAATTTTCTAAAATGTGTATCGATTATAAATCAACAGAAAAATAACATTGATACATTGATATCATTTCTATTGATGACAGCTCTTCATTCTCTCAGCAATACATGTGTACTTTTGTTTATAATTTTATTTCTTTAGACCTCTATAATGTTTTTGTACATGTATATATATTTTCAGATCCTGCATATAGAGACTGTACTATAGAGAAGATAGAGTCAATCACACGAGATACAAATCTATACACAATATGTCTACCTAAAGGTTGTAGAATGAAAATACCAACAGGATGGCATGTTCATATAAAACACACTATACAAGGTATGATTAGGGTCAAACATGTTTGTAAAAACCATCTCTGATCTGGAAATCAGATCATTTTTCTTTAGAAAGCTTATAAAAATCCTGTTAATGTTATAAGTATTTTATTAGTTAATTTTAACATTATAAGTGGAATATGACTTTGACCGCATTACAACCCTTTACCAGCAAGGTCATATTTTTGCAATTCTCCTATGAGAGCATTGTGTTTTATAAGCACATCTTGTTAAAAGTTCAGTCTTTTTATACAGTAATAGTATTGATTGTTTTGTTTTGCTTATGTATATTCAAGAATGTACTTAATTCAAGACTGTACTTAATTTGGTGTCCCTTGTTGTTAAAGGGTTGCCTTTAATGGTTGAGGCATAAAAATTGCAGCCACATTTATCCCTGTGTGATTGTAAGAGGTGACTAAATGGGTTAAACTTGAGTCCATACATCTCAAGTTCCAGCAGGTGAGGTGGTTTTGATCCCCAGTGTTGCTTTGGGGTTAACAAAATCAGCTTTCCTCTTTTGGCACCATACAACCTATACTGTTTTGGTTGTGTTATATGTAGGTATGAAAGTAGTAACAAAAGTTGTGTTATATTTAGGTATGGAAGTATAATCAACAGTTGAGTTATATTTAGGTATGGAAGTATTGACATCAGTTGAGTTATATTTAGGTATGGAAGTATTGACAACAGTTGAGTTATATTTAGGTATGGAAGTAGTAACAAAAGTTGTGTTATATTTAGGTATGGAAGAAGTAACAACAGTTGTGTTATATTGAGTTATGGAAGTAGTAACAATAGTTGTGTTATATTGAGTTATGGAAGTAGTAACAAAAGTTGTGTTATATTTAGGTATGGAAGAAGAAACAACAGTTGTTAACAAAAGTTATATTGAGTTATGGAAGTAGTAACAATTGTTGTGTTATATTGAGTTATGGAAGTATTAACAACAATTGTGTTATATTTAGGTATGGAAGTACTGACAACAATTGTGTAATATTTAGGTATGGAAGTATTAACAACAATTGTGTAATATTTAGGTATGGAAGTATTGACAACAGTTGAGTTATATTTAGGTATGGAAGTATTAACAACAATTGTGTAATATTTAGGTATGGAAGTATTAACAACAATTGTGTTATATTTAGGTATAGAAGTATAATCAACAGTTGAGTTATATTTAGGTATGGAAGTATAATCAACAGTTGAGTTATATTTAGGTATGGAAGTATAATCAACAGTTGAGTTATATTTAGGTATGGAAGTATTAACAACAATTGTGTTATATTTAGGTATGGAAGTATTAACAACAATTGTGTAATATTTAGGTATGGAAGTATTAACAACAATTGTGTAATATTTAGGTATGGAAGTATTAACAACAATTGTGTTATATTTAGGTTTAGAAGTATAATCAACAGTTGAGTTATATTTAGGTATGGAAGTATAATCATCAGTTGAGTTATATTTAGGTATGGAAGTATTAACAACAATTGTGTTATATTTAGGTATGGAAGTATAATCAACAGTTGAGTTATTTTTAGGTATGGAAGTATTCACAACAATTGTGTTATATTTAGGTATGGAAGTATTAACAACAATTGTGTAATATTTAGGTATGGAAGTATTAACAACAATTGTGTTATATTTAGGTATAGAAGTATAATCAACAGTTGAGTTATATTTAGGTATGGAAGTATAATCAACAGTTGAGTTATATTTAGGTATGGAAGTATTAACAACAATTGTGTTATATTTAGGTATGGAAGTATAATCAACAGTTGAGTTATATTTAGGTATGGAAGTATTAACAACAATTGTGTTATATTTAGGTATGGAAGTAGTAACAAAAGTTGTGTTATATGTAGGTATGAAAGTAGTAATAAAATTAACAGAAGTTGTGTTATATCTAGGTATGGAAGTATTAACAACAATTGTGTAATATCTAGGTATGGAAGTATAAAAACAGTTGTGTTATATTTATGTATGAAAGTATTAATAACAGTTGTGTTATATTAAGGTATGGAAGTAGTGCGAAGCTATACGTCGGTGTTACCTTCACTAACCTCGGAGAATCAGGATGATAGATTACACCAGGGAACTGTTGTTTACCTCATGATCAAAATATATCAAAATGGAGCATTTACACCCTGGCTTGCTAGTCTTAAACCAGGTATGTGTTTTATGTTAGTGATTTGTTTAAAGAAATTTTTTTTGCAGTAACCTATGCCTTGTATATAAGGAAATTTTAGTGTGGTTATTGTGTGAAACTTGTGAAGATTTAGCAAAAGTGTTGAAACATTTTCTTTTTCTGCAGACAATAATACAGTAAATCATCTGTAGAGTGGCCTGCAATAGCTTAATAACCTTTTTACAACAACATTATTATTTCTTCTCAAAGTAAAGATTTTCACTATATTGAACAACACCTTTAAAGCTACATGCCTCCAGATAATCCAAAATATTTTAGTAAAATCAAAGTTAAAAAAATATTATTTAGACTTTAGGAATGTAAAAATATTAAGAAGTCAAGTAATAATTGACATGTTATATGTGGTTAATGACTGATTTTTTTTCAATATTATGACTATATTTCTACTGCGTTACTAACACAGTAAGGGCTTTTTCGCACAATTTCACCCCATTTTAGTAATTTACGCCAGTTGTAAGTGCAATTAATTAGGTGTAAGTTGCTTCCTATTGGCCACTATACACTATTATGCGTTTTCACATATTTTAAAACTTTTCATGAAAATTAGCATCAATCTGGAGGCGTGCTGCTTTAAGCAACCAAATGTACATTTATAAGTTATAATACTGACACATAAGTTTGCAACAAAAAATGCTTGAAATGCAAGTTTGCAACTTAAATGTGCTTGAACAAAATATGTTTGTGTATTGAAACTTTAAATTAATTAGAACATACAAATTAAAACATTTACATAAGATTGATAGAAATATATTTTGTCTTTTTGGTGAACTTCAAACCGTAAAGATGTGAATAAATGAGTAGAAAATCTGACCAGAACTTCACCTGTTAAATCGCAAAATATGTACATGACTAGTTTTTATCTTTAATAATATTGTCAAATCAGAAGCAAGGAAGCTGAAATCAAATGAGAGTGTGTCATAAACATTGCCTTAAGGAATGGCATATTAAAAAGTTTCAAAATATCATACAAACCCACTTACCTGAAGAAAATATGTGTGAGTGTTGAAAATATTCATGACTCGGTAAGCATTTTGTCTAGTTTGCAACCAATTTTTTGGCTTGAACCAAGTGTGCAACCACTTAGTTTAGTTAACACATATTTATTTTAGTTTGATTGTGTTGGAAGCTATAAGCCTATTGAAATACTCTGGAATTCGTTCCTGGAACAAACCAGTACTAAGCCATGAATGTAAGGTTTCTTGCTCAAGGAAACAACAGCTTGCCCCTGACAGTGTTTGAACCCACATGGTCAGCAATCCTGAAATTAATAGTCTGACATGTTAAACACTCTGCCACACCGCCACTGTGCATCACATCAAGCCCTATGATATTACCTTTGTTTATTCTATCTCATTACATCATGAATATATCTTACTGTTGTTTTGTATGTTATGTAGATTTAATTATTGTATCAGGTGATCATATATGTATGAGCAGTTGTGAAGGGAATTTTAAGGAGTCATGTCTGAGTACATTAACCCATCTAGTCATGTTGGCAGCTGGTACTGGCTTCACACCTATGGTGAAACTTATCTATAAATCTCTGGTGCAGGACACCGAGTCTCAAAGGTTTGTACTTCCATTTACTTCCATTACTTCAACCTCAACTATTTCTTTTTTAGTCATAATTGTAGACCACTGACTAAAGAGCTATATATAGAGAATATTGTTCAATACTAAAATGAGTTAAATTAAATAATATTATAAGAGCCTCTGGCGAGCATAATATTGTTTTATTTAACCAGTTCAATAAATATAGTATTATATCTTCACAAATATAATATTCTTTTTATCACATACCCAAAATTATAACTGTTTACAGTGAAAAAGATTCACTTTTTCATTTACACCCCCATAGTGTAACACTAGCATTTAGCGCATCTTCACGCTATGTTTGTATGATGCATTTATGTCATGTCAAAATATATGCACGGCTGTGCTATACTGTTTTTACGGAGTCTCAAAAGTGGTATGCGCATGTGATAAATACATGTATTTGACTGATTTATTCCCTTTACTTCTGTTTAACTATAAGGACTTAAGGATAATCCAATAAACTGCTTTATGGACAGTTAATATTTGATCATTTTAAATGATTTATATTTAATAGAATAAGATGTAGGTATGAAGTAGACATATAAAACAAATTGTATAAATGTTATATTTTGATATAACAGGCAGGTGAAGTTATTGTTTTTCAACAAGACTGAGAAAGACATACTGTGGCAGGATCAGCTAAGTGCCTTAGCAGACTTAAATCCAAGGTTAGACTTTATTTGTATAATGGTTTTAATAAACACTGATGAATTTTGTTAGGTTAAAAATATCTCAAATATCTTTTCATCTATGTTTGGTAGGAGGCAAGAACTGTGGAATATAAATTAATTAGTGGAAAGTACTATAATATATAAATTAAATAGGGGCAAGTGCTATGGAAAATGAATTAAGCAGCAAGTGCTATGGAATATAGATCAATTATGGGCAAATACTATAACAGTATAAATGAATTAGGGGCAAGTGCAATGGAATATAAATTAAATAGTGGCAAGTGATATGGAATATGAATTTATTGTGGACAATTACTATGGAATATTAGCCATAGCTTGCTTTTAGATTAGTATTTTTATGACATACATTGTAACCATGATTTCCCACCTTTCACATGTTTTTCTCTTGAAAAAAATTATTGTTGTTTATATTTCCTTCTATCCTTAAGTTGTAAGTAACAGTAACTGTTTCTCATAGTGCCTGCATATATTGAACCATGTCTTAAATATTTTATAAGAAAGTATCTCTTGCCTAAATCTCCAATTCAGGTGTTGCTTTTAATAGATAGGGGCCAAGATCACTGAGACAAAAAAAACAGAAGATTTTTCTACTTTACCATATAAAGCTTTATTTATTGACCAATGTTGTATAGAGTTATATAGTTTGTTGTCACAAGCAGCTGTAAACTTATATAACTGTTTTCATTGTGTTAATGAGAAATTATAAATTAATGAACCCTTTAGTCTGCAAGCAGCAAGTAAATCTTGCTTAAATTTGACATGATAATTGTTCAAATAATACAATATGAAGTATTTTCAGGTTTACATTTTCAAACTGTTTATCTGAGGCAGCCGGGGCATGGACCGGGCTGAAGGGTCGAGTCAACAAAGATATGCTGGCAGAATTTATCCCGAGTGTGGGAGAGAATGATAAAATACTGATCTGTGTATGTGGGCCAACCCCATTCACCAAGTCTGTGATACAGTATGTGTTTTTATATCTTTCCTTGTTTTTACACTTTTTATAACTCAAAATGAATGTATTTGCACTTCTTTAGAAAAGGCACACATAAATTTTAAATCATTTGAAAAATGGTTTTAGAACATGTTTAATTCTTATTATGTAGTAGTATTTTGACTTCTATAATCATAATTACCGGTACTGTACTAATTGCTAAACATCAATTGCTTAACACCAACAGAAAGATGGTTTAGGTTTACCCCAATATTTTTTTAACATAAAATGTTTCTTTTATCATATTTTAACAACATGCCAAGTTTCAAGAAATTCTATTGAACAGTGCTAATTTTGCCTTTATGTCTATATAAAACTACCGAAAACATCCTTAAATTGTAAATTTTCATTGTGTTTTTGTCTCTATTCCAGATTTGCCGAAGAACTTGGTCATAAAGACAATACCCATGCTTTTCTAGGATGACCTTGGAAATGACCTTCATCTTCCCATTTTGTAATGACCTTGACATTGACCTAGATATTGGAGAAGCAGCATGTGATAAAAGTGACAATTTTAGCGTGGATTTTATCTGTTTTAAATGCTCAGCAGCAATAACAATGTTGTACTTGTATGGTAACTTCCACAATAATTTTAAATGGGTCAAGGTCACATATTTTAAATATCCAATTGAGCTATGTAAAGAATATATTTGTACGCTTGTTCTTGATTATTTTATTTTCCAGTTTTTCAGGCTAAATAGGAATAAAAAGAATAATTTGTAAAGTTAAAAAAAAAACTTAATAAAAGGATACTGCTTTTAAAAAGATAAAGAAAGTGAAGGAGTGAAATATAGTTTAAACTTATTTCTGTTACACTGAAAAATTACTCAAGAGAATCGTTTTTGTGTTAAAAGAAAAGTGACAGTCCTTGAAACAGTAAGTTTGTTTCCTGAAGTGATTATGTGTTTTGACACAACTTTGTATAAATTATTGACGGTATTTCTAGGAAAGCTTCTGGTAACATTGAATAGCTTAATGCTCAGTTCTTCCACCGAGGAGCATATTCGTTCATATGAGGAAATAATACAGCTTGTTAATAGGAAACTAGCAGTAGTCTTTTAAAGGTACCAATTTGTGTGTGAATGTGTGAAATTTTGTGTATAAAGACACCATTGAGATCTTTACACATCTTTAAAAATGGAAAGTCCGTATATGCAATTGATGGTTTCAGCACATTCATGGAATATTTGTTTTTACATCCTGCTTTACATCAGTGTTACACTTTAACTAACATGCCTTGTATCTTGTAGGTATATTTATTACACGACTTCCCTTGTTTTAAAGGGAACCAAGAGAATTAAAGCTGTTAGACAAGGCAGACTATGGAACAAAGATGGCCATGGGACAAAGCAGACTGTATATTGAGTTAGGATGGACACATCCTAAGGTGTACCCGTTTCTAGTCTGTTACAGAAATAGTCTTCCTAGTCTACATTGTTTGCCTAGTCTCAATATAAATCCTGCTATGTCTATGAAGGACTCTTGTTGCCTTGGAAACCTAATTGGAAATACAACTTTAAAAACGTTTTTGTGGAAAAACAGTTTGATCACAAAAATTATCATTGGATACACACTCTTACAAGATTGTAAAATTGATTTTTTGTAAAAACATAGGCACTAATTTGTGTGGTCTATTGTATTTTGAAATTTATAGGGAAGAATTTTAAAAAATCTTTTGTTTGATTTTGATGTAATTTCACAGAAATGATTCTTGGGTGTCCTAGATTCTTCAAATCATACTGATTTGCTAATAAAAACACCTTTACAGAGGTTTTATTTCAATCGTATCGGACTAAGAGTCTGTGTTTATGCAGATATTATTGAAAATGGCCTCGGTTAAATATGTTTGTTAATTTTTTGTATAATTTAATGAAACTGTCTGCCAAGATTGTTAAAATAATTAAGATTTGTGAAGAAGCTATACCTTTAAATAGCAAGATTGTAGCTGCCTAAAATGTATATAGAGGAAACTTTGCATATCTTATAAACTCTGATTAGAGATACAGGGCCATGATGACCCTTTTATTTATTTATGCATTTATTCTTGTTATAGGAGCTCCAAGGAGGTCCGGTCCAAATGCTTTAAAACATAAAATTTGATAATCTAGAGGCAGTAGGGAACCGAAGGCTTAAACATTTGAAAAAGAGAATTTAGAAAAATACTTGATATTTAGTGAGACTCTTAGCCCCATATGAGTTAAAAGCATTTAAACTCTTTTCAGTTTTAGTTCTTTTTGCATAATAAATATGATAAATTTGGGAAAAACAGATTGCTTTAATGATTGTACACAAGTTATTGCTATAGGCCCATATCCGCCATATCAAAAACAAACCTCAGTTTAGTCACTCTAACAATTGCATTACTTTGACAATAATCTTATGCTTCCTCATACATCATGAATAGATCATATCATATATCATACTTAGTCATGTGATTAGGCAAGTCAAACATTTGTTGTCATTTTATATATATAATTTTTATAAGATACTTAATGATTGATTGAAATTGAACAAAATTAAAAGCTAAATATGGATGTAAAAAGCAAAATACAGGCATAATATTACCGAAACTGATAATAAAAAATATAAAAATAGGGACTTTTTCCCGCTAAGGGAAAAATATGATTGAGCACGTCATTGTTATATTGAGCTTTATTTATGAGTTTTTGTAGGAAACAGAAAATCATCATCATACTGGTTGTATATACAAAGTAGATGTTTATAAAATGTTCCATCAAGCTTTCATTGTCATACCTTGATATACATGTATTAGAATCATCATTAGATTTTTAGTAGCATGAAATACGTTTTAATTTATTTAATGTTATATGTCTTTGAAGTTTTAAAAGCTGGTATATACCGGTACTATATAGATTATAAAAGCGTATGTTGTTTACATGAATGGAATGTACATAAAAATTGTTTATTTTTATAGATTATTATAACTTACAATGGTTAAAGAGTAGGAAATCATATCGTTTGTTTTAATTACAGGAGAAAATGATTATCTACACATTGTTAATTTTTTTATACCGGCATGACAGAACAGAACAGCCATTGCAGGGCATGTCTGTTCTAACAGCATATCCATTGCAGGGCACATCTATTCTAACAGCAGATCCATTACAGGGCATGTCAATTCTAACAGCAGATCCATTGCAGGGAATGTCTATTTTCTAACAGCAGAGCCATTGCAGAGCCTGTATATTCCAACAGTATAGCCATTATAGGGCATGTCTATTCTAACATTGCAGGACATGTCTATTTCAGAAGTATACTTTCAAGTTCTTGAACCCTTCACATCCAAGTAGTTTGACAAAATAAGTTATCTCTTTAAGGTACTCCACTTAGGTTTTTATCCACTCATGCCATTTTTCCAGGATTGACATTTTTATGCAAAAATGAAAAGGGTTGTAATGTTTTAACTTGAAACAGACTATAGAATCTCAAAAACAACAACTTCATTTTTAATTTCAGGTAGATTTTCTTTATTAGCTTTTTAAGCATTTTTTCCATTTTAAGTGCACCAGTTGATTAATACAGGGATTTCAAAACTTAAAAGACCTCAATGGAACGCACAAGAATAAATTATTTAGCGTGGCTGGTTCAGAATAAATGTTTTACAGTCTAATAGTTAACATTAAATTATTCATAAGTTAAATTGTGAATATTTTATGCAGTCAGTTGATATTAATGCAACAAACAAATTTGTTTGTAAGATTATAACATAACAGAGTATACAAGTATATATCATAGAGAATAAAAGTATTTATCATATCATATCTAGTATTTTAAGATAAATGTCTTGATTAATTTATCATTTTGATAAACTTGTACATGTATTATTCATATGAAATTTATCAGTTTTGGACAAATTTCATTTTCATTTCTGATAAATTGTGTAAAACATATCTATATTTGCAGCTAAAGGTATCTTAATCATGGAATTCTAAATAATTTAAAATCACGAAAAGATCATGAAAAAATATCTCAACATGAATATATCATTTGACTGCATTGAAGCCTGTGGAGTTGGGACATATCCCCTTTGTTTTGTACTATTTTAAAGTTTTAAGTAAATATTTGGGCATTTTAGATGATAAGCTATTTATAAAGTATTGAAAGTATTCACATAATTATGTTTTAATGACAATGAAATTTGATTCTCAATATGAATGTTATAATATTGAAAGATATTAAACACTATTTGATTGTTATTAAGTGTTGTCTTCTCTCTATGTAACCTCCAATTAAGATGATGGAGTATACTGAGGTTTTTTTGTTCGTTGTTTTTGGGTTTTTTTCAAAATAGATGGTTCTTTAACAGGGGAAAAGGTTGTCGCATTTTGTCACAAATTCACTATGTCCACATTTGTCTGTTTATTTAGAAACTTGAAATTTTGTGTTATAAAAATCATGGTCCTTTTGCATTTTCAAACTGACAGCTGAAGTCTATAATGCATTATATATTTCAGGGGTGACCAAAATGTGTATGTAACATTTACTGCCTGCCTGGTTGATTAACATAGTTTTCAAATTATTAAGCCCATACGTAATGCTGATATTGAAACTTATACATTTGCTATCAGTGTAGATCCATGCCAGTCAACATTACATACAATTAAAAAATATACTATGCTCATCTTTGTGTAATTCCTTTTTATTGCATAAAACTATTGAAATCTAGGAAAAATTCTTACTGAATATGTTTATTTTGAATAAGAGAATGCCCAAACTAGAAGTTGCATTCCCTTTAACTGGTCAAGTTAATTTAGTCCGTTCTTAAAAACCAGTCAGTACATGTATTTTTAATAACACTTTGTATTCATTCCATTAACCTATGTGTAGCGTTTAGGACATGTTCTATTTTGAAAATCTTGTCGTACAGATTTTTACAGACCTCCCACAATGACAAGTAACAGATTACCTAATTATCTCCTGATAATGGGTATAATGTATGAAATTCCAGAACAATTAGGGCTAAAAGGTAAACATAGTAGTAAATGGGGGTAAAAATGATGTTGAAAAACTCTTCAGGAGACCCAAAGTTGTGTTATGTTCGAATCCCAAATTATTCCGAAAATGATTGTCATGGTATTGAACTGTTCTTTAATTAGGGGAGGGGAGGCAGTAAGCGGCCTTATAGCTTAGTCAGTAGAGCCACAGTATGGTATTCCGAGGGTCCCATGTTTGAGTCTCGGTCAGGCTTCACATTAAAAAAAATATTTTTTTAAATGGAGGTGTTTCAATCATTACTCATAGCGAAAAAAGTATTTAGTGAGTAAAGTATGTAAAGGATCAGTGTAAAGGGATTCTTTTTAGAGAAACCTCAGATGATTCCTAAAGTGTAGAATTACCGTCTGAATGCAAGTGTTGTATTGCTTTGAAAATTGTACATCTTATCTCTAATTAGTGCTGTACAACTAAATCCTACCGTCTGTTGAGGCCTTAAGGAATAGTAATTAGCGATACCAATTTAGTAATCATAAACCAGTAAATTTATGAGTTTAGTTTATTTTTAACCAAATTATTGAAGCATAAGCAAATGTGTTGTTTTTTTACAAACTAGAAATGTGTCATCATGCCACGGATGCCCCCGCATGCAGCCAAAATTTCAGATGTTATAATATTAAGTTCAAAATTTGTTTGCACAAATTATTTTTTTAATTTTAAGTTCAAAGCCCTTAAAACTTTTCAATGTTAACACAAACCATTTTCATACAATATTCAAGGCACTGAAATTATTTAGTCTTAACCTTTTGAAAAAAGCATATTTCATATTTGTAGCCAAAATAATGGCTACATACATTTCCACAAAAGTATGAGTGCTGAAACTGAAAGTTCAAAATTTTTCCAACATTCAAGAAAGATAAGTTTGTCCAAAATCATTGAAACATGACCAAATTCAAACTTAAACTGCTTATTCCTAAGATGTATCTATATTATTTTCAAAGTGAAAGGGACATAACTCTGCCAAAAATCATCGAACCATGACCAAATTTAAACTTGACCTGCGCCTTCCTTTGACATATTCATATGTCAAATTTGAGTTTAATATGTAACACTGTTGGGTAGATAATGAACAGAAACTGTAAATTTCATATTATTTTCAAAGTGAAAGGGGCATTACTCTGCCAAAAATCATTGAACCATGACCAAATTCAAATATGGCCTGGGCATTCCAAAAACATACCCATATGTCAAATTTGAGTTGAATGTGTTGTACCGTTGGGGAGATAATAAACAGAAACTGAAAATTTCATATTATTTTCAAAGTGAAAGGGGCATAACTCTGCCAAAAATCACCAAACCATGACCAAATTCAAACTTGACCTGTATTTTCTCATAATATATCCATATGTCAAATTTGAGTTGAATGTGTTGTACCGTTGGGGAGATAATGAACGGAAACTGAAAATTTCATATTATTTCAAAGTGAAAGGGGCATAACTCTGCCAAAAATCATCGAACCATGACCAAATTCGAACTTGACCTGTATTTTTTCATGACATATCCATATGTCAAGTTTGAGTTGAATGTGTTGTACCGTTGGGGAGATAATGAACGGAAACTGAAAATTTCATTTTATTTTAAAGTAAAAGGGGCACAACTCTGCCAAAAATCATCGAACCATGACCAAATTCGAACTTGACCTGTATTTTCTCATGACATATCCATATGTCAAATTTGAGTTGAATGTGTGCAACCGTTACTAAGATAATGAACGGAAACTGATGATGACGGAATGACAGAATGACGGAATGACGGAATGACGGAAGGACGGAATGACGGAAGGACGGAAGGACGGAACAGGGTAACACTATATGCCCCGGCCATTACATGGCGGGGGCATAAAAATGTAGGTGTTTATAAGTATGGTGTTGGAGCGTGTACAAAACATTTACTGGTGGATATTTTTGGTAAATGTTGACGATTACGTAACCTAAAATGTTGTTATGTAGCCAAACTTTTTATATCGAGTGTTACCGCCACATGTCCCAGATGATAGCCTCAACCCCTCTCCTCGTACTACCAGTAAGGCATCTAATGTGAATTTGAGGTAAATTTTACAATTCTTTGTGCAGAACTTGTTCCAGTTGTTTCAGGTTGACTACAGGTGGTTTGTACCATTCCTCAAATAAAATTTAAAGTTTCAGTTGTGGTCATGTCAAAATGAGGCAAAATGCCGGGTTTGCTTAACTTATTTCCAGGTGTATATATCTTTAAAGTAGGCAACTAAAATTTCATACTTTCCATAAAACTGATACAGACCTTGTCAAATGAAAAACTTTGGAAGAATTCATTTAAGTAATCCATTGATGTAAAAGTTTTGCCAGAGGCTGTGAGAATAGCACAGTTTTCTTGTCTCCAGAGGTACTCGTGGAAAATTGGAAAATGAAATTGTATGCCAGGAACAATCACTGAAATAAAACTGCAAAAATTACCAACAAAAAACAACACTCAAATTTAAATGTAATACTTCTTTATTTCTTTCACACTAATAACCTTACAACCAACAAAATGACTTGTATATATATAATATAACAACATAAATGTAAGTGAAATAAATAACAAATATTTTAAACACAATCTTATCATAATGAACACAAAATAACCATAGTGAAGGATGTTGACTTAATCAATAAATCAACAATGCTTAAAACTTCATGATTTATATTTTCATTTCTTATTTCCATATCAACCAAAATTTTGCTGATTAAAATTTCAATTTAGCATGCTGCATGGCCAAATATTCACAAGCAAACAAAAAAAGACATATTTCTACAATGATTTCTTTACTATTACAATGTGAAGCATGCATTTTTAAAATGATTTTTTTTCTTTCTTTTTTGAATTGAACCAAAACATAGCACTTATCAAAGTTTTTATCCAATATTAGAATAATACCTAAAACAAGAACTAAATAACTGATGTATTTTATTGGAATTTCATTCATTTTACATCAAAATTCTTTAATTTTAATTTTCAAATTTATTTCACAGTAAACCAAGAGTTGTGTCCCTTTTATGAAATCGTAAGTTACAATATTATACAACAAAGTAACAGTAATCTGTAAAAAACAATAACATTATTTTCTATCTACACGAATCTAGTATTTGAATAAATTAACATCTAGCAAGTACTCTACACAAATGTTCTGATATATTTCTACACTCCTGTTATATAACTAACTAGTAATGTGTTGAAATAAGAATCATTTTAAAAGATGCCTAAAATTAATATTCCATCTTTATGAATTAAATCATATTCCATATTTATGACATACACTATTTCCATCTTTATGAAATAAACTTTCCAAATAAACTATTTCCATATTTATGAAATAACTTTTTTTCCATCTTTATGAAATAAACTATATTCCATCTTTGTGAAATAAATTATATTTCATATTTATGAAATAAACTGTTCCCGTATTTATTAAATAAACTATTTCTATTTTCATGAGATGAACTATTTTACATCTATGAAATAAACTATATTCCATATTTATGAAATCAAATATTTACCATATTTATAAAATATGGTTATTCTATCTGTGACATATATGAAATATACCACTCACTGTTATCAGTCACAATGAAAACCTAAGCATTTTTGCCAAATGCTTTTTAGTAGGAAGAAAAAAATTGTGATTCTTTTTTGCATGACAAATATTTTTGTGCCTTCAAATATAACAATTTCAATCATGTACAAAAATGTACCATGTATCCATTGTTTTCTACTGACCAAAATATATTTACATAATTGCAGTGTTTACTTAAGAGTGGCAGCGAAGAATTTTTGAGGAGACAAATCAAAAAAGGTCATAAGTAAATACAAAACTTTAAAAAAGATGGTACATGTCAATAATTTACCATTTATACATTATTAACAAAAAGATAATATATGCTGTGATAATAAAAATAATTGGAACACTGTTAATTCTTTCCCTTCAAATTCTGGAAAAAAATTATTGTAAAAAACTTCCTTTGTATTGATCCATTAGTAATATAAATAAATCAGATAAAAGATATGTGTAAAACTTTGTTTCATATGAAATATTCAGATGCGTTGCAAAATTGAATAGTACTTTATAGTATAATATATTCCATAAAGACTGTAAAGAATGAACACTGTAAGGTCATAACAATGCTTTGGGCTTCAGTCATTTCACACGAGTACAAGTAAAATTTGAGCCGCGTCAAGACAAAACCAACATAGTGCATTTGCGACCAGCATGGATCCAGACCAGCCTGCGCAGTCTGATCAGGATCCATGCTGTTGGCTGTCAGTTTCTCCACTTGTAATAGTGTTGGTAAGCGAACAGCATGGATCTTGATCAGACTGCGCGGATGCGCAGGCTGGTCTAGATCCATGCTGGTGGCAAACGCACTATGTTGGTTTTGTCGTGACGCAGCTCATTTATAGATTGTAAACAAGTTCTAAGAAAAATGGCCCTTTTATAGTGATAATATGAAATGATATAAAAACTCTAAAAATAAATAAACCAACAAAATAAGAATTAAAGGAAAGCAATATGGTATCAGTCATGAAAAAAGTAAAACCAAAATAGGAAGGGTAAAATATGATGCTAATGCAACAAATTAAAAGGTAAAACATGTCTTTGAGAATAAAACCCTTAAATTTTTTTTGGTAAAGCTGTGATGACTTATATAAATGACATCCAGATGACCCAGTAATTAATACAAGAATTTATATTTCACAACCCAAATTTCACAATCAATTAATGACTATAAAAAGAAATTAATTACTAAATAAATACAATTTCACAAGCCTTGTGTAGTTTTTGAATGAGGTATACATTATAAGTTCAGTATGACTGTTTTGAACTTTTCTTAAAAAACAACATGTAGATTTTAAAGTGTAGTGCAAAACAGTTGTAATACATGCTAATCAATATGTCCTTTAACCTTTGGAAGATAAAACAGTTGTACTGAAAACATAAATTAAATAAATGAAAGTAAAACATAAATATAGGAACAAAGTAAAATGAAAACATAAAAGAAAGTAAGACTTTGGGAGGAAAAATATTGTGTATGATGGCATTTTCTTTGGAAAGGAAGTATTGCACTTACATAAAATAAAATCTCAAAATGTACAAGATTGAATGAGGAGAAAATGACAATAATTATTTTATGGCATCAACTTTGTTTTCGCAAGATGTTTAATAATGCTCCTGGTGAAGTTCAATTGGAAACTATTGTTTAAATCTTTCACAACGGACATTACATGGAAAAAATCATAGTTCTCACACAACTGTCCAATATAGGAAAATTATTTTGCTAATTACATGTATATTATGCTATAGTGTCCCTTTTGGAAGTATAATGGATTGCCACATGGCACAATTTAAAACCAATGACTTGATGTCAATAATTGATGTACAATATTACATTGTATTCTCATATAGTGGTAGCAAGAGTGCAACAATTTAATCCAAAAACTCAACTTTTTAAGTTTTGAAGTCCTTAGATAACACTGTTTTGTCCAATAAGTAATGTACATGCATTGCCATATATTTTTGTATATAAACGTTAATGGGTTCTATGGTAAGTTTAATATTGCTATTATATTAAAAAATATGTTGCCATTGACTACATTGCAAGTTTAACCTGCCACCAAAAATTTGACATTAATGCTTGATAATGGCCAATGACACCTTGTGAAGTATAAGAAATAAAAGATAAAAATACATGGTTGGTTGGAATATCAATGGTGTTCCCTGTGAAATTCTTTAGTGGCAATTAACTTTGCCAAAATTATAAAATGTAAATTTTATTATGGTAAATAAAAGATGATTTCAAATGTTTATATTTGTATCATGGCAATATGCATGTGCAGGGTACACTTGAAAAAAAAAATCTTTTTTTACTATTTGACCCTGCTATAGTTATGGGTTTTAAACCATTAATATTTATTTAATATTTGTGCATCATCATCAAAGTGTCTTAAGGTTGAAGAAAATTTAAAGATAAAATTTCATCATCTATCCAAATACTGGCCTCAATGCTTCAAGTTCAACAAAATCTTAAGTTTTGCAACTTAAATGAAGCATGCATGTTTTAATATTTTATCTCCTAACTGATCCATAATGTTGGCTTTCTACTTTCAAGTCATGGTCATGTAGTTCATTTCCTACTGTTAGAATTAGAAGACCACAAGCTGTTATCTTCATTAATTCAGCCTTGACCGGGCAGGTGCGTAGAAAAAACTGACCACAGCTTTTTTAAGTGGCAATCAATTTGACATAATGTATGGGCCACTCACTGACTGTTGAAGAACAATAACAGAATAGACTTCATCGCCCTTGCAAAAATAAAATTATCATTCTAGGACAAAAATATTAGCAAAACTTTTTTTCAAAAAGTCTTCAATCTGAAAAGCACTTCTTTCTCTTATTCTTACTAACAATATTCATTGATCAAACTTTATCCTTAACTGGAGATGACTTCACTTTTCTGCTCGGAGATTTAAGTCTATTTTGCACCCATTCGAGGGCGTGTATGATACGTTTTAAATGTTTTCTATCAGCTTTTGATATAGACTGGATTTCCTTGACCGGTAAGTTTGATATAGCTTCCACCGATGTGTAACCCTTCATACAGAATGGTTCTGCATACATGGGCAGTCCAATAGAAATGAAGAATTCTGGGATTGTTGCTATTTTTAGCTCAGATGTGGCAAGACTTTGTTCCGTCAGCTGTTCGGCTGCAATCTAAAAATAGAAAAAATTTAACAGTTAGTTATACATGTATAAGGGGTTTTCATATTTGAAAACAAAACAAAAACTAAAGCATGGTGGTTATTTAAAGCAAGCATAAGTGAACATTATGGTAAGAGGCTTATTGTTTTAACAATGGAGGATATTTTCTTTTTTTTTAATCAAATAATCATCAAAGTGGAAAAGGATTATAATGTGAACAAAGGATATTGTAATCTTGCATCAAAACTCAAAATATTCCAGTGGAAACAATTGCACAAGAATATGACATACATAATTCATATATAAAAAGTCCAAAGAAAGGCAAACATGAATAATTTCTAAATCAACTTCAACACAATTATTTTTCTTTATAAAGAATCTGCTTGTAATACATAGGTCTTGAATTGTAAAACCCTAAATTTAGATAGTAAACCCCAATAAAAGTAAAACATTTTTTGTTATTGTTGTTGTTAATAATTTCTGGAAAAAAAAGAAAGTGAATGATCTGAAATTTTGCATATATTTTCTACACTTACATCAAATGAAACATTTATTGCAAAATTTTATTATTTCTAGTCATGTCGTGTCAGAAAAAAAAACAGTTGAGTCCCTTTAATTTATTATATAAATGTATATACTAGTCAAGTATTTCCCTTATTATATAAATGTATATACTGGTCAAGTATTTCCCTGTTGTTTATTCACTGCAAATGATAATATTATAATAGACCCTTCTCATTAAGCAATAAGCATCAAGGAAGTCAAAAAAAAAATTTGAGGGTTCAAAGGGATTCTTTCAGAGCTTTTTCTTAAAATTCATTGATTTGCCACAGGGCAGCAATAATCCATAGTACAATGTGATGTATGATATTTCTTGTTTGCTAAAAATCAAACATACCATTGGTCTACCAAGTGTGCTCAGTTTGTGCATGCGGACCTGGTCTAGTATTACCGCTGTCTTGAACACGTCTTGTTTGAGCTCCTCAGCGTACCTCTGCACCAGAAGTGGGGGTATACCGCATGCACCAGACTAGAATGGGAGGTCAAAGGTCATTGTTAATAAGCAAAATGAAAATATTCATAGGTAAATTGTGAAGGTGCATAATGTGGAAACAAAAAAAGGGAAAAGAGATTATGCGGTTTAATACTGCAGCATTTGGGAGCAAACAGTAAAGTATCATGCTTAGTATAAGCTTTAATTTAAGCAGATGAATATATTGATACAAAGGGATGTTTTGAACTAAACTTGTAGGTAACAACAAGTTATTAGTATGTTTGTATTTTCCAGTTTCAAATATTAAATTATGAGAGAACACTTTTTTACAAGTGTAACATAGACTATTATTTTTGTAATAACTTAAAAATTCATTTAAATGCCAGTCACATGGCAAACCTTGGTAGCTCGAATTATTCTTAAATGAAAAGACGTTCAATCTTTGCTATTAACTTTCTTATTAGTTGTCAAATTTTATAAAATGGCTGGTTCCATTCACAAAGGTTTGCAATTCTTGTTCATTACTTACTGGACTTGAGTAAGGTTCCCCCGCTAAATCTATATTCTCTGAAGCCAACTTCGAGGTCACCTTTGGTATCACAGATCTCTTGATTGACTTGAAACTTTTATGGATAGGTCCGTACAGAGAGTCCGGAGTACTTCTTCCATGCTCCGGACCACTGCCAATTTTGTCCGATTTAACAGTGCTGGCATCACTTCCAGAATCACCATCTCTGGAGTTCTGGGAAGTGTAGGAAACCCTAGTAGGAAGTGATGTGTCAGGTATCAGCTGTAAACCAGACTGTCTTGTTAATTCTAGATTAAAACTTTGTTGAGGACCAGTCTGTGACTGGTTAACAGTTTCAACAGTAGACTGTGTTACAGATGTACTAACTAAAGTTGGACTACATGGAGACTGAAGAGGAAAGAGCCCTAGAGGACACATGACTTGAACTTGAGCATCTTTCATTGGAACACTCGGTGAAATTTTACGTGCATATGGTTTTGTTTTCCTAGAAATAGTGCTAATATTTTGAGAAAATATGTCACCATGAACACTAGCAGACATCGCCGAGCCAGGAGCAACAATTGTTTCATCAGCAGATGTATGAAAGCTGTCACTCATGGATCCGTATGGAGATGTTTGAGAATATGAGTCAGAAAACACTTTCCAATCTGGCCCTAACACTGGTATATTTAATGACCTATAGTTACTATGAACATCACTACTAGCACTGTCCCGACCATTGACTAGAGTTGGTTGCCGTGGAGATGACCTACTTCCTTTACTATTCTGAAAACCTGTTATATGGCACACTTCTTGGTCCTCCTCAGAATATATTTTCTCCTCTTTTGCTCCATTTTGCACTTTAGCACCATTTAGATTAAATTCTATATTAGTTCCGGGCACCGTCTGCTGAGCAACCAATAATTTTTTCCCGCCATTTGGTCTCAGATTTTCTTTATCAGTAACAGCCCTAATTCTACAAGCACTAGCATACGGGTCATTTTCACGATTCATGAATTCATTACTGTCATAGCAACCGGAATCTCGGCTGCCAGTTGATGGTTTTGAAGAAGGGAAAAAACTGGTCCATGGTACAGCATATTGTTGTTGACTTGTGGGCGTGGCTGAAGCAGAACGACTGCTTCTCATTGGTGGCTCTTGAGGTCCATCTGATAAAAGAAATCAAAACAAAGAATATTAATAACAAGTAGCAATTCATTCTTATCACATTGTAACAAGTAGCTATTCATTTTATAAATGAAAAAGAATATATCACATGACATTGCTTTTTACATGACTGTAATATAACAAGTATGAATTTCTTTTTAAATTACCAGTACATTTTATAAATTTTCCAGTTTAAGGACCACATACTTAATCATTTTTGGATCCAAGCTTATCAATTTAGCCTTGTTTTCATTTTCAAAGTCTTTTCCAAAGTCTAAAAATGATGAAATCACATACTTCATCAAGCCTTGTTTTCATTTTCAGACTTTTCAAAATGTCCACATCAAATCCTTGTTATACTCAAAGTAACAAAGTTCTGTTAAAATGTCCAAAAAAATGGTGATGTGAAATAAAGATGTCACTATACAATGTTGAGTATAATAATGATTTATTGGACTCATACAAAACTGCAAAACCTATATAAGCCTCAACTAGTGCCTCACCCATAGATCTGACAGCTGTTTACTCGTCCAATAGAATTCTGTATTATATTCAACAATGTAAATATTCAGTGAGTACATATTTTGCATTTTTCATTTAATTAATGAATGATTTTTTTCAAGAACTCAAAGACAGAGAGACACATTTCTGATAGTTATCTTACTAGGAGTTAAGGCTACAAATAATGGAGAAACAATTCATGCATATACAATAAAATACCAAAAAGTAGCAGTCAAAAATCTTCGTTTTGTTCAAACCTACCATTATAATCAGTAAGAAGTTCTGCAGCTGTGATGAGTTTAGTTCTAGATTCAGAATCTAGGATATTCAGGGCATTGAGATCTTCGTGATCAATCTCCGCAAATATTTCCAGATTATCATAACCGTTCATCAGAAATATTGGAGTCAGATGCTGAAATATAGAACAATGATGATTACTACAATAAAGTAGTACTCTGGCATTTAAATTACACTTCATAAATAGCCAGATTTAAAGCTATTAATACAGTAGATAAGCCAGCTCTTATATCCACTCAGTCCGATCAGATCATTAACACTGTTAACAACTCAATTTTACTATTTGATACTGCAATCAGTGAAACTACTAATGCAGTAAATACTTTTGTTTTATAGCAAAACTAATCAATTATATTGCAATTATACTTGAATGTCGCCATTACCTACACAGTCTTGGAGTGATTTAAAAAACACAACCAATTAAACATAAATAGGATTATTTATACCTCAAGCCCTATTCTCTGCAACAATTCTTCTACTGTCTGTGGTTTGGAACGTCTATTCATCCTCCGTCTAGTTTTATCTTTCCTATGATTGGTTGGTGTGTTTTCAGTGATCATGTCAACAAAGTTAAAGTGGAAGAAGCCCACTCTATTGTCAATCTGACCCTTCCAGATCCCTCCACTAGTTGCCTCCAATACATGAACCCTTTCTCCTCTCTGTAAGTACATGCACAGTGTTAATACACACAAATAATACAGCTTTTCTATCAAAACATTACTTAAGACAAGACCAAATTTAATAATTAGACCATAAAAACATTGTGTAACCAAAGTATAATAATGTTTTCATTCATTACTTTCGAATTTCGAAGCAATTGATTTCACTTCATTCGCTTTTTCTTTTTTTTTTGACGTATTTTTTCTTTCTATATCAATTCATCAATATGCTTTTCTGTGGATTTTTTTCAATGGAGAAATGATTCCCAGTTCTTAATCAATTTAACTAATAAAATAAATAACAGATCTTGAATAACCTTGTTTCTGTGTTGCCACTAGTAATGGTTGAACAATTTATATTGTTATTCCCTTACCTTTAAGTGTAGGAAGTCTTTTTCTCCCTGTGACGGTGTGTAATTTGAGGTTACTCTAGCAATTCCTAGGATAGGACCTGCCATCTGACCTTGACCTTGAACATCAAGGTCAGTCCAAATCTGACCCCCAGACTGGCTCCCAATTCCACTAGAACAGCTGTCAGTAGAGCTGACAGACTGGTTTATACCAGGTGCAGTCTGGTATGCGGAACACAGATGCTGTGACTGGAAGAAAACCAGACATATTTTAATAACACAGTACAATTAGATGATACATGCTGATTAAGTTTCATACCTCAAATCATTTCACATTTTCCATTCAGCTAATTTGTCTGATAATAAATCTATGAAACTCATTTTAAAAATTAAATCATAATTATAATGCCAGTCAGTTTCAGGATGTCATTATTACATGTTAAATCAATATTTTTTCGAGAAAAAAAATTAGATAACTCTAAGAAAAGTTAATTAAACCTTTTTCTCAATCATGTATGAATTAAATTCTTGTCTGTGCACAAATCTCTATAAAGCAAACAAATGTTTGCAAAACATTTTTGTTAAAGTTATAGAGAGCTATATACAATGGGACATTATCTATGCCCACCTGAATCAGCAGAAATAACACTGATTACCTCCCTTACCTCCTATTCAACGCAGCTGGGGAAGAGAATTTCACTTTGAAATTCGGTAAGACTATGTTTCAACAGAGTAACACATACCTTTCCATCTCCGATGATATCTCTAGTGTGTAATATACGACGTCTCATTTCATTTCTCACGCCTCGGAACTTCTCCATCATGTGGGAGCTTGATGCTGTACCACCACCAAGCAGCAGTCGATCCGGATCATCAAGTTCATCAGTGTCAGTAGACATTCCGTCCTCGCCCTGACTCACACTTCCTGTCCGCTGCCACTGAATAAATATTGCCGTAAAATTAAATGATGTGTGAAATTATTTACATTGGATTTTCTAAAGACAAAGATTTTATAATGGCCTTGAATGAATGATAAATTTACAAGCGTCTTCTTATCAAATTTTAAAGAGATAACTCTTTAAAGACATCCTATACCATGTCTTATCAATATTCAGGAAAAATATTGTATTAAAACAGAATGTTTGGTTCTATTTAGCTCTATATGGCTGCACTGAAAGTGTTTGGACAGGCCAAACTACAGATCAGACATAGTTAATAGCAGTATGTCCATACAGAAATATTCTTTCTCAAATTCTCTTATTAAATGCTAGTGATCCCAAGCTACCAGTATTCTACAAATATAGTATTGAACAAAATGAGAAAATAAGCCCTGCAGCACTATAAAGCTTTCCTATAAAGTTAACAATGAAAACAAGTTCTGAGCATCAGTGATGGAAAATGCAACATTTTTTTACACTGAAATGCAGTTCAATAGTTTAATTAAAGCTGGAATAATTAACCAATTTGATTACTTTAATCAAAAACAGACTGCCTCTTAAAATTTAGTCATAGTAACTGCAGCGATGTATTTAACGAGAGTAACTTGATTTAAAAACTTGATTTATGTATATATTGCTGAAACCGGAGAAGCAGCGAGGGTCTGGATCAATGAAAATGAATCATGCATTTATACAGTGAAAATGTTATGACATTTCAATGTCGACTATGAAATGTTTGTTTACAAACATTCTCACACATCGGCATGGTAACAAAATGTCAAGATGAGGAAGATTACATGATTAATGTGTGAAAATTTACACTATCTCTAATTCCTTTCACTCTGGCATAAAAACTTTTAACATGACAAATTTGAAAAATTGTAAAATTAAAACTCTATAATCACTTGTTTGTAACTACATTTTTTTTCTTCAATTAATCTGTTTTTTAATGCCTGTACATAATTTGATATATGTAAAGTTGTAAAAAGCCTTTGCTAGAGTGTGCCTCATCCATTTCCTCAAATACATGTTATTAAGAGTTTGTGTCTTTCAAAACAAGAGGGCCATGATGGCCCTGAGGTCGCTCACATGTATATAGGGCCCCGGAGCGGGGCCAGTTTAAACCCCAGGGCTTTTATTTGAACAAACTTGGAAGACACTCATTAGAAGATGTTTCACAATGTTAAGTTTTTATTTCACAATGTTAAGTTTTTACTACACACATATAATGAAAAACAATGATCTCTCCTCCCCCCCTTTCTGGCAGGGCCAATTTTCACCCGAGGCTTTTATTTTGAACAAAACTTGGTAGACATCCATAAGAAGATATTTCATGCTAATCATCTAAGCTCTAGCTCATTGGGTTTTTAAAAGAAGATTTTTAAGTTTTTACTAATACACATATAGTTAAAAACAATGACACCCCTGGGGCGGGGCCAGTTTTGACCCCAGGGCTTTTATTCGAACAAACTTTATAGACACTTACTAGAAGATGTTTCATGCTTAATATCTAGCTATTTGGGTTTTTTAAAGAAGATTTTTTAAATTTTTACTATATGCAAATAGGGAAAATCAAATGACCCCCCCAGGGCGGGCCAATTTGACCCAAAGGCTTTTATTTGAACAAACTTGGTAGACACTCACTAGAAGATGTTTCATGCCTCATATCTAAACTGTAGCTATTTGGGTTTTTTTCAAAGAAGCTTTTTGTAAGTTTTGCTATACACATATAAGGAAAATCAATGACCCCCGGGGCGGGGCTTTTTTTGACCCCAGGGCTTTTATTTGAAACAAACTTGGTAGACACCCACTAGAACATGTTTCATGCTAAATATCTTAGCTCTGGCTCTTTGAGTTCTTTACAAGAAGATTTTTTAAGTTTTTACTATATGCATATAGGGAAAATCAATGACCCCCTGGGGCGGGGGCCAATTTTGACCCCAGGGCTTTTATTTGAACAAACTTGGTAGACACTCATTAGAACATGTTTCATGCTGAATATCTTAGTCTAGCTCTTTGGGTTCTTTAAAAGAAGATTTTTTAAGTTTTTACTATATGAATATAGGGAAAATCAATGACCCCCCGGAGCGGGGCCAATTTTGACCCTAGGGCTTTTTATTTGAACAAACTTGGTAGACACCCATTAGAAAATGTTTCATGCTAAATATCTTAGCTCTAGCTCTTTGGGTTTCTTTAAAAGAAGATTTTTTCAGTTTTTACTATATACACATAGGGAAAAAACAATGACCCCCCGGGGCGGGGCCAATTTTGACCCCAGGGATTTAATTTGAACAAACTTGGTAGACACTCACTAGAAGATGTTTCATGCCAAATATCTAAGCTCTAGCTCTTAGGACTTTTTTAAAAAAGATATTTAAAGTTTTTTCTTTCGGTTGCCATGGCAACCAGAGTTCTGCATGGAATTAAATTCTTTGAACAATTTTTTAAAGGTGACCACCAAAGGAACATTCCTGTGAAGTTTGGATGAAATTGGCTTAGTGGTTTATGAGGAGATGTCATTTAAAGTAAAAGTTTACGGACGGGACGGACGGACGAACGACGGCCGGACGCCGGACGAAA